ATTATATTTTAAATTGGTGAATTAGACTTCTAGATCATAGTCAAGTACAACTCAGTGATACAAACTTAAGTATTAATATTATGTTTCCTTGAAATTTCCTAGACTATAATTATTTGACTAAAGCAAAGTCTATTTTATGTTATGAAAAAGTCTCATAGGATAAGAAGGCTAATCTTTAATTCCTTTAGCTTTCGATAGTCATAGAAGGTGAACACGTCGAAAATAACTTTACATTCTCTTGGCAACATAAAAACATGTTGACTGCAGTTGTGAAAGTTTTTTATCTTTTTTTAACCATATTGAAAAGCAGATATTAAAATAAGATGAATATTTAATGACAATTATTCTATGTCTAACATATATCTATAAAATTTTTTTATTGTTGCCATTTGAGCATATAATCAAATTGATACAAAAAGAAAAAAAAAAGACTACAATCTATTCTTAAAAAAGAAGAACAAGTTTTGGTTTTATTAATATGTTCCTTGAGCAATCATAGCTTCAGCTACTTTTTCAAAGCCAGCAATATTAGCACCAGCAACAAGATCATAACCAAGTCCATATTTTTCTGCAGCTTCTTTGGATTTTTTATGAATATTAACCATAATTTCCTTGAGTTTAGAGTCAACTTTTTCTTTTGTCCATAATAAACGTGTGGAATTTTGTGTCATTTCAAGCTCCGATACAGCAACACCACCTTTAAATAAACAAAAAAAAAACAATATTAGTTCATCATCAAATCAAATATACTAAATAAAGTTATTAACCTGCATTTGCAGCGATAGCAGGACCAAGAACAACACCATGCTTCTTGAAATAATCCATAGCTTCAGGTGTTGTTGGGAAATTAGCACCTAAATATAATAATTAAAAAAATGTTCATTTTCTTTGTAAATATATCTTGTCAAAAAAATAAGTATTACTAACCTTCAAAAACATATTTTATACCGTTATTAGTTAAGACTTTAGCTTCTTCTACATCAATTTCATTTTGTGTTGCAGATGGAAAAGCAATATCGCCTTTTAAGTTCCATGGTTTTTCTTTTGGATAGAATTTAGCACCAAATTTTTTTGCATAATCTTCTAATTTAACATCATTACATGATCGAATACGTAAAAGAAAATCAATTTTTTCATCAGTATCAATGCCTTCAGGATCATGTATATAACCATCACGACCTGATATTGAAATAACTTTTGAACCAATGTCACGAGCTTTAAGACAAACACCCCATGATACATTTCCATAACCTGATAAAATAATAACTTTGCCTTTTAATGTATCACCTTTTTCTTTAAGTACCTAAAACAAAACAGAAAGTATGAAATTTAGAAAAACAAAACGAGTATTAATTAATTAGTCGTACTTCTTCGGCGTAGTACATAGCACCAAAACCTGTAGCTTCACTACGAATATAGCTACCACCATATGCTAAACCTTTGCCTGTTAATACACCATTCTCAAAAGCACCACGAATTCGACGATATTGTCCATAAAGATAACCAATTTCGCGACCACCAACACCAATGTCACCAGCTGGTATATCAATATCAGGTCCAATGTGTCGATAAAGTTCGCTCATAAAACTTTGACAAAAACGAAGAATTTCAGTATCGGATTTACCGTGTGGATCAAAATCTGAACCACCTTTGCCACCTAAAAATAGAAAAAGATTTTTTAATTATAATTTCAAATTCATTTTCTTTTTCTTTTTTCTAACCTCCAATTGGTAAACCAGTTAATGAATTTTTTAAAATTTGTTCGAAACCCAAAAATTTAATAATACCCAAATAAACACTTGGATGAAAGCGTAATCCACCTTTGTATGGTCCAATAGCACCATTGAATTGAACACGATAACCACGATTTACATAAATTTGACCATTATCATCTTCCCATGGTACTCGAAAGATAATAACTCGTTCTGGCTCAGTGAAACGTTCGAGTAAAGCCATTTTTTCATATTCGGGATGTGCTTCAACTACTGGTCGAAGAGTTCGAAGTACGTCTTCAGCAACTTCAAGAAATTCTTTTTCATCAGCATTTTTTAAACGGAGTCGTTCAATAACACGGTCAACATAATCGGTAGGCATATTGTATTTCTTTGCGTGTGTTCGGTGGCGTCGAGATAAAGACGAATGGATACATCTGTCCTTTAAATATCCGCCCTAGAACAATAACGGCCATGATAAACCTTGTAGTAGATAACAAATTCGTCGATGACTATCTAAAAAAAGCTTATGTTATGCATAGAAGCACAACATACTTTGTTGACATAACGCCTTGGATCATATATTGCGCGCGTGATAAATACGTCTATTTAGCTGATAACAATGATTCATGGTATCATTTCTAAAACGAGCCCATTTATGCACTTCTTCAGATTACTTTAAAACTGGGTAAAATAAAAAGATAATTTCACGGAAAAATTCGTCATAGTTTACAACATTGTTATATAATATTTTCTTTGTGATCATTGTTTTTTTTTCTATTTTATTCTCTTGATATTATTTTACTAACGACATCATGGATATTCTTAGTTTCATTGGTTTTCCTAAAGCTAAGCAATTAAGCAATAAAAACTAATAGGTCGAATTAGTAATTAAAATGTATACTAACAATATCACTAAATTCTATGCAGCTAAATTGTTCGGTCTTCATATGATTATGTGGTTGATATAAGAAATTTTGATAAAAAAGAAATAATGTTATTTAATCTTTTAAATTCTGCACTGCTGATGCATTACACAGTAAAATAAATACTGTTTTAGATATATTATAATCTCCATCTCAACCATGTATACTAGATCTTTGCGAATCCGAAATGTTAAGATTTGTCTTATTAACAAAAATAAATATGTAGTTTTCTCAAAGAAACATTACATAGTTGTTAGCATCTATCTCTCAAGGATTATGTTATTATGCTGATTTCTGCATAGTAATATTTATTGACCAATTTTAAATCAAGCCAATGAAAGACAAAAAATATTATCTTCTCGTTTTTGAAACTTTGATTAAGTACATTATTACAATCTTTTTTTGCTTTTTCAAGAAAAACTATTCAAAGATCTTCAATGATTATACATGTATGATTCCTGATTCACAACATGAATTCACATTCTATATGAAGAATACAACTGTAAAGTATCTTCAACATCGTGTATTGTCAAGAGTCTCTAGTTGCAATGCAAAAAATTATATCATACAATTCTTCTATGTTCCTCCAATGTCTAGTTAGAATCGGAAGGATTCATACTAACCATAAACTATAAATATTTGTAGTCTCTAATAAAGAGGTATATTCTTTATTCAGATTAGTATAAATAAAATTGTTTTTTTTAGATGCAAGATAAATCTTGTTCGTGTATATATTAAAAGACTGTGGTTATATATGTCAGATTTACATGAAAATTAACTCTGACTCTAATACACATAAAAACTATTCCGAATTTGATCTTATTTCTGACAGAAATCATTGATATAAACAGCACTCTTTTAAAAATACAAAATGAAGAGTTATATTAACTTTGAAGCAAATTTCTCTAGCATGTTTAAAGCAGTATATTCGTTTCAGATTTTAATTGTTGTACCATCATGTTCAAGCTACAATTATTACCACAGTTTCAGATCAATTATGAAATTGTTCACAAAGCAATAAATCTTGACATGCTATGAATTTACTGCATTCAACTTCAGCAGCATCATTAATTCATGAATTTCTAAACATTATTTCAATAACATTGAAGCTATTTTGTGATTCATACCACATGATGTTGTTACTAGTGCATGGAAAATTCTTTTTATATATTAAAAAGTTTTAGAAAAATTCAACCAATTGTACAACAACGTAAACTCAATATGATGTTTCATGAATAGATTCGTGAGAAGAACAATCAAAACAAAATATTTAAATTTTAGCATTTTCTTTTCAACGACTTAATAGCTTGATTAATTAATATCTATGTAGCTATTCGTTCGATTGATCTTGACCCTTCTAATGCGCCATTAACATATATCATACGTCAAAGTTGATAGCTGTACATAATTCTTCAGCTATTTCCATACCATTTCTAAACCAAACCTTCATCATGAAAAATATATCATCTAGTGTCATCTATTCATTTTCTAAAAGCAGACCAACATAATATTGAACAGCAATTATTATACAATATTATACTGATTCTGAATATATAGAAATTTTAATATATAGGCGGTTTTTAGAAAAGTCCTTCAGATAGTGCATTCAAAAGAAGTATCCACTAAAATATAAACGTTTTTGTTACATCAACAACTAGATATTGCGTACCTAGAGAGAGAAAACGAAGAACACGATGTCACCCATACCCAAAAAATGTCTTGTACTTTGGTCGTTTCAAGCATAAATAGGATAAAATCGTAGTTGTTGACCTAATATGCGTTCTGTATAACCTTCATATCTCCAAAAAAAGCGTCAGAAAAATCAACATGACATAACAGAGAATATTCTACTAGAAATTAATGATAAGATATTCTTAACTTGGATGTAACTTATCTTATATGTTAAATTCTTTTTTTCTTTCATAGAAATAATTGTAAAACAAGGACAATAAATATAAAAACAATCATTCAAAAACAAACAGACAGTTATATTTCATACTAATGCATCAGTCAACTTTGAAAGCCTTTTTAATATATAATAACAAGTTGTTTTTTAGGGAATAACAAAATTCTTTTCAAAATTTTGGTTAAATAAATCTACATCTTGTCACAATTGTTTCGCTTGTTATAGAATTTTTAGTCTTCTATAGTGATATACAAACATATGGATAATAGTACATTTCATAAATGTAATAGACTAGCTAAAATGAACAAATTTCATTGGGAAACATGTACGTTTTGATGCTATCTTTTGGAAGTTACTGATTGTTATAAAAATTTTATATGATCATTACATTTTACTCTTCATAAGAATGTTGGTTTATCATCATTGTTGCTTTTATTTTTATATCGTATATCATTCATGTCACCGGTATATGCGTATAAATTAGTGGGCATGATCTTGATATTTTAATTAGAAGAATTTCAATGAAATCATTTTTGTGTAACAGAGACATCATCTAGAATAGAATCACGGCGTAGTCTTTGCTTATCAAGCATCCATTTTCATTCATATAAGCACGCATTACTATAATCAATGCTATTTTATTGGTTTCTGTTGTTTTTTTTGTGTGTGTATGCACACGTTTCTTTGTGTGTAGGGCAAAAAAGAGATAAAGAGGTGATAAGTATATAATTGCGGTTTATTATATATACCTCATGTTTTGTGTAAATAAGCGTACTTTTCAATATCATAGAATGTATTATTCTAATTAAAAGAAACTATATATGTCAATTTAATACGTGTAGACTTTTTAATCAATATTTTAAACCCTGAATAAAACTTATCGATTATTTCAAATAATATAAACAACAAATTATTGCTTTTTCATAGTTAGCAACCGACCATAAACACACAAATATGTGGTGTAATAAAGACATATGAGCTGATAAGCATTGCATAGCAATTAATAACAAATAAGATATATTAAATAATTTATACTGATTATATGAGATTATTTTTACTTATATAATAAAATTGAATGACAAAAAGAATATACTTTTAAAAGATGTCACTACTCTTATTCTTTGTAAATCAGTTTTGTTTTGTTGGGTATGATATAAAACTAATAATTGAATATTTTATATAATTAATAATTATCTATTAATTGTATAAACAAAATTTTTCCAAAAACTCAGGGTTATTTATTATGTATATCTTCAACATGTTTCTTTGAATCTAAGATCAATTGTTCTTCCTCGATCTCAAGTAAAAATTCTTGTTTTTTTCTACTTGTATGATAACTTCTTCTATAGATCATTGATAAATTAATTTTTCGAACATTATAAAATCATTCTCACAATAAAATTGATTTATCTCAAGTAAAACAAGTTTCGAATAAAAACAATGATCATGAAATTGATATAAATGATGAAAAAGCTATAACTGAAACAAAAGCTGAACGAAAATCACGTGAAAAAATTGAATGGAATCGATTATCATTTGTTGAAAAATTCGTTAAAAGATTTTTTCCATCTCAAATCAATTCGATTGCAATTATTGTCATTTTAATTTCATCTTTTTTTTCTTATTCAAAAAGAAAACGGAAGAAAAAAAAACATTTCTTAATATTAGATTGTTGCTGGTGTTTGTTATGTCATATATGAGCAAGTCAAAAATGATTATGAAATAAAATCTACATTTCAAAATGGTTCATGTCCTAATTTTAAATTTAAAGAAGAACAATTACTTGAAAGAAAATTATTATTAAATTCTCTTATAACTATTCTTACACCTGTTGCTGATAAACTTGTTTCATCATATTTTATTGTACTTGGTGAACATGGAGTTGAGTTAGATATTTAATAATTATAGAAATAATAAATGAAAAAAAAAAGATTTCTAATTATAGAAAATCTACATTAATTCGACAAACAGCACGAACAGTTTGTCGCGGTGTTATTTATGTTGATGGTTGATTATTATTATTAATATAAATGCATGTAAGCTTGTTTATTCTTTTCTAGTTCCATCAAATGTCGATAAATTTGGTCTTGCTTTTGCTCGTGCAATAAAATTTGATTTTAAAGAACATATTCGTCTATCAACATGGATCGAATCGAAAATGTTTGGTTCACCATCAGATGAAGGTACACATTATTTTCAAACTAAAGATTTTTTTGAGTTTTATTTTGTCTTTTTTATATCAAATGCATAAGGCTTTTTTTCTATTTAGTGATAAAGTTTTGCTAATGATTATTTTTTTTTCTCTGTTCTAGGAGAAGAATAATGTTGGGGACGTGTGTTAGTAATATTTGAAAAATATACAATTGATTTTAAAAAGAAATATGGTTGCGTCCCTGTGTTAATTCTTGATAATTGTGATACACTTGCAAATAAAGATCCAAAAGTGCTTGAAATATTACAAGATACCGCTAAAACAGCTATTGATGATTCATCATGGATTACTGTATTTGTTACATCAGTTTGAATTGCACCGGAACAAATGGAAGGTTTGTAAAATAGTTTTTTGCTTCAGAATAATAAACAAATACCGTATTAGTAAAAAGTTTTAGAAAATTATGTAACAGAAAAATCAATTTATGTTGATGATTTAACAACATTAGATGAGACTAATTTAGTTTCACTTATATTTATATCCTAGATGCGATTGATTTATTCTTGGACTTCTCAGAAAATATCGTTTTTTCTCTTCAATTTTATCATTTGACGATTTTTAAAAATACGATAAATAAAGATAAACTCTAGTGGTTGACTATCCATGGAAAAATATTTCGAATAAAATCACGGTTTTACTCGATATTTTTTTTTCCTGAGTAGAAGAACATAGAAAGAAGATGAGACTATCTCTCCTATCTTCCACGTTCACTGCTTTCTAGATATGTAACGTGACTTTTGCGTGACGAAAATGAAGATCATAAGACATGAGCAAGCTTTTTCGAATTTGAAAAAAATGCCCACATTGTTTCTCTAAAGGGAGTTGAACCTTGGTACTCCATTACAAAAAGAAAGCGGCAAAGAAATAAATAATCTTTACTAGGAATATGCAACGTTGGTGTAAATACTGAAATACTAACAGTGAGTCACCAACCCAGGGTTCACTCACAGCAATTCTATCAAAATATGCCTTTTTTGTAGCGGTGTATTCTAGTGCTTCAGTGGCTAGAAAACTGAAATTGCACATGCCTAAACTTTACAAACGTTGTATGATTTTGAACAAGCTTTTACAATGCCAAATCATTTTTTAGGAGAATTCATTGTCTCAAATAGAAATCGAAAGACAGATTGTACTTATGCAATCTGTCCACTGAGTTTGGAGCTGTATTTGAAACAAGGATAGAAGATATTTGTTTTTAGAATAAAATATAATTTTAAAAATTAAATATTTTTTCTTTTCTTCAAAGATCGAAGTAGTTATCACACGAGCATCGACATTTCTTGAAATATCTGATCTCTCAGAAGTAGAATCAATGACTTATTTGATAGAAAAAAGAAAACTTTCTCAAGACATGGCCAAAGATCTTTACAATTTCTTCGGAGGATGTATAAAAAGTTTACAAAATGCAGCATCAAAACTAGAAAGTGGTGTATATTTTCATAGTCAGTTAAATTTAGACTTTTTTCTAATGAAATAAAGAAAACAAATGCAACTTTCTGAATTTGTTTTGTTTTATTTTAGCTATACGAAAATCAAATTTACAAAATATAGCACGTCGAATTGAAAAGATCAGATGCCGAACAACTATTCAAGAACAAACGTTCTTGTTTAATGTTCTTTATGTTTTATCATATCAACCTGAAATAACAATTGATGAATTAATTGAAATTGAAAAAGATGCTACTATAAGACAAAAAAAATTTTAGATGAACTTCGTGATGAAACAATTCTTATAAGATCTGTTTCGACGGGTTCATATATATATCATTGTCAAAGTATAAAAGTATGTGTTGAAGAGTATTATAAAGATAGATGTTTATATTATAAAGGACGCAAAGTATGAAATTGTAAAAGATATAATTTGTTTTTGTTTGTATTTTTGAGTATGAATTTTTTAGTATCGTTTTATTTTTTGTTTATATGAGATGATTTAAGTTAATAAGAAGATTAGATCATATTACTTGCCAAACATAATTAAAACATAAGCCGATTTTTTTCTACGCATGAAAAAAGTGATGAGTTTATTATAATTATCTAGTTTTGATTTCAAAAACTTATACAAATGAAGTCAACTAAATAGTAATATCATTCTTAAAGTTAAAAAATGTCAAACTTTTTCTTGATGAAAATATATGTTATGTTTTCTTTGCCTTTCATTGTTTGATTTCCATTCTTTACCCTTTTCCAATCTATTTGGTATCATTTACTACTAAGAGAAAAGTGAAAGTCGACGTCGAAAGAGAGAATGATAAAATTGAACTGGTACATAAAATATATATATATATACTGTAAAGAAAACATAATAAACAAACACGCATACGTATACGTTAAACATAGCGTTGTGCTCGTTCTAGTCTAGTCGATCAAAAAGCAAACAGCGAGTTAAATTCTAATACAAAGAAAATCAAAAACTTTTTCTATATATATCATACGCTGGAAAATGATATCAACAGAAGCGAAAACACAAAATCAATCTCAACAATCAACAACATATGATGAACGTGTATTTAATGAACGTATTCGTCAACTATTTAATTCAATTGATTCAAGCACTGTTTTATCACCAAACAATAATATTAATCAAATGACTTCTATTGTTGATGCACTCTTTCCTGAACAAGCTTCTCTTTATCAACAACAACAACAGCAACATGATCAACGTCGTTCATCAACAAATGATCTTACAACAGCTTTTGATCGATTTTCATTGTGGAATAATCATAATAATAATAATAATAATAGTAATAATAATAGTTCAGCTTCAGCCTTCTGTGGTGGAACTACAAATGGGTCATCAGCATTTACCAATCGACGTCAATCAACATTACATAGTTCATCAAGATCATTACGAAATACTTACCATCATCATCAACAACAACAACAACAGCAATATCATTATCGACCGCCACCCGTAACTCGACCTCGTTTCACTTCATCATCAATACGTATACCATCGGCTGCAACAATGTAAGTATTTGTTTGAAACTTTACAAATTCTTTATAAAATATGTTTAGAACTGCTCCATCTAATAACTATACTGCTGGCCTTCAACGATCAGCGTCATCACTTTCGACAAATAATACTAGTGCTACAATGGATTATCAACCTCGCTTTGCTAGTCGTTTATCAACAACTCGTTTACCATCAGCTGCACCAGCAGGTTCTCATGATCAAATAGCAGGTAATAATAATACAATAGATCCAATCGCTCCATCATCATCATCTATCGATGTTACGGATCAAACATGTTCGGCTTCTGCTGTACTCTCTCGCAATACATCAACAACAAATGTTCAACCACAACAATTTGTAACAATGACACAAACAACAACAACAACTTTTTGTTATGTGCCTGCATCGGGTTCACTTGCTTATAATAATTTAGCTGGAACAGGACGAAGTACAACTGTTTCTCATCATTGAATAAAACAACAAAAATTAGAAAAAAAAAATTTAACTTTGCTGTTTGATAATTATTTCAAACATGTCGTCGTTGTGTAAGACACATGTTTATGTTTATGAATCTTATTTATGGTTTACTTGTGTACGTATGCAGTTCTTCTTTTTCTTCTTCTTCTTCCTGTCTCTATCTTTCTGTTGAATCTTGGATATAATCTCTGTTGTGTTTGTCGAAGAATTTCATACACAGAAATATATATATTTATTTATTTATTTTCTTCTTTTTTGTATTAACTGTTATTTCTTCTTATTGTTGATCTCAAAATAAAACAGTTAAATTTATAACAAAAAACAAGAAATATAATTTTTATTTTCTTATTCAAAAGACTTAACTCGCTTGAAGAATTTGTATTTTTCAAATTTCAACGTTAATTTCAGTCTTGGAACAACTTACATTCTTTTCAACTGAATCGGACCCGCCCAGTCAGTTACACAATTCAACCAGAGTGAAGAATTGACTTGTTTAACCCTTTTAATACCATTGCTCGATCATCAGAACTACGAATTTCTAAATTCGTGTGATCATTGCTATTATTATATGTTGATCGTCCAACAAGTTTAGAGTTCTTTTCCTGATTGTTTCATGAAATATCAGTATTTCATTTATTTTGTCATAAAATGCTAATAATTATTGACCTAAGAGAGATGAGAAATTTTTCTTTCTACCATAATCTAGTCGCTACTTCCCCCTATCTACGATACGAAGTTGAAATCTCAGCAGAGAATCATTATTACTGAAAAATAGCTATTTTACAAACACGGATACTTTTGAAGTTTATGATCTTCTTCCGAAAACAAACAAATTATATAAGAACCAAGAAATGTCTTTAGATTATTCATACAAAGTATCAGGGTTAACTAATGTATGGTTCGAGATATTCATTGAAAATAATCATGCACTATTGAAAAATACATAGAAACATAAGCGAGAAAACAATAAGACTCATCTATTATACTGTATCTTTTATGATTAATATCCATTATTATCATGTAAAAGTATAATAATTGAAACATTGGAGATCAAATACCCATAGGCAAGATTATGCCAAGAAGACTTTATATGCATTCTAACCCCAAGTCATTTCATTTATTTTGCGCCTTCCCTCACTTCACACGCACAGCTACAGGCAAAATTAATAACATATTTGAAATTAGACAACAAAAACTACATCGTTGCAGCATAATATTTATTTGCTTTCGCATGCTATTCAAAAATTTAGTATGTTCAAAACAATAGTACTGAATTCTATACGCAGGAAAAAAGTTAAGCACAATTCAACGACAACATACAACGTAAAACTCGTATAGCTCTTGAAGAGTCTAATACTAACAACGACAGAAGAACATTATAAAAAAATTTTCATCTAATAATTCAAAAACAACTATGGTTCGTTTTGCCTGGTTTTCTCAAGTAAAGATATAATTTCTTTAGAAGAATATATAAGTTTAATGTTGTCTTATTTGAAATCATTATTTAACAAGTCTGAAATACTTCTTTATTCTTAAAAGGATACTACTGCTAATAGAAAGACAAAATGAACTGCAAAGTTCGACTTTTGTGCAATGCGATCTAAAGGAAGTGTTGAAACAGATAAGGTAGAAACTTACATCCACTATCCTCTGCTCCCTTACAGGCTGTGACAGACGTGGTTGATATATAACCAAAGACCTTATATCAATAATGTCTCATTATCATATATGAAATACATTCTTATTGCATATCTAGAGGATTAAGTAAAAAGATGATGAAGAGATATGTCCCTAAATAGATAGAAAAAAAAAAATTTTCCTATAATTAACAACAGCAGTTATATCGTGTCTTACATTTTGATTCCGCAGAGATTGTGCTAACAGCTGTGACAATAAAGTTCATATTCTCAAGGTCGTTTTTGAATACTGCGATTCTTCTTATTTGTATGACGTTAACAGTTAGCAAAATTTTTTAAATAAAAAATTTTTTTTTTGATATTTCTCTAATAAAACCATTAATTGAAAACTACTGACCATAGATCATTTTTGAAAGCCAGTTAAAAACAGTCCAGAAAAGTGAATTTGAAATCTTGAAGGAGAAAATCTTTAGTTTAAACCGAATTTAACTTCTAATGGCTAGTTAACATTTTGTGGTTATAATCAATATACTCAAAATTATTTGAAAACCGTCACATTTTACAATGAGAAAGTCTAATATTAAAATTTTAAGTTCAAATCTTGATGGTAACTACAAATGTACCAATTGAAAATTTTTGAAATCAATAAGAACAAACAAACTAATTTTAGAATCCTAAAAATTGATTCAAAAACAAACGACATAAATCAACCAGTAAGGTGCCAAACTTGTTTATTTCTGTCTCTAACAAGAATGTCATAGAAGATAATTATTTTAACTGGATGCGCATCATGCATTATTTATTTGTTGATTATCAACTAATTTTTTTTACTGCTGTTGAAGACATGAATCAAGTTTGCAATTATAGAATTCTATCAAACATCAAAAGAATATCATTTGCAGTTTTGAATTTGTTTGACATTATGCTTAGCATGAAACTTCTATTTTTAATTAATATTTTCATTAGCCTAGTTTTGATATTTACGTATTTAGTATTCATAAATAGAATTATTTAACATGCTCTCATTGAAAACATATATATTCGATCTTTTCAAATAATTATTGACACATTACAAAAAAAAAAAGAATGTTTTTCAGTTCATAAACAGAAAAATAACAGAGCGCAAACTATTTGATTCGAATAATTGTGTTTTTTCGTCTACAGAAAAAATTCACTTCTAACACATACATAAACAACAAAGAACACGATACAAACAACAGCAACAAACATAAGTAATAAATCAATCGAATCAGAAGAAAAATCAAATAGTTTGATAGACAATTTAATAAGCAAAATAAGACAGAATAGTAATTGAGATTCAAATGAAAAAAAAAACAAAAAAAGTTGATTTATATAGTCTGACGATGTAACAAAAACAATAAATAAAGAAAGCTCTTAATGATAATGATCATTTATTAATGAAAACGCAATTAAATTTCATCGATGACAATCGAAACTGATATGATTTTCTTCAAATTCATCAAGTGTTAAATCAAGTATATGATCATCATCATCATCATGACTATTATTATGTTCTTCTTCTTCTTCTTCTAAGTTTGATCGGTGAATTATTTCATGTACACGTTTATGATATAATTCATTATATTTTTTAGCATTTAAATAACGTCGAAGTAAACTTGATGTTATTTTATCTTGATTATATGTTTTTGAATGTATTTCAGCTAAAGCTAATGTACATTCATTTAAATCATATTGTGTATATGTTGTTAATTGAATATAATTATTTGACCAAGTAGTATCAATATTTAAATATTGATTAAGTAATTGAATTGCAAATAAAAGACAACTAGCAGCTATTAGGGATGAACGATATGATGAAAATGGTCGATCATATAAAAGTGTCAGCGTACATAAATAATTTGATAACATTATAAGACATTTATGATCATCATCATTACTATCTGTTGATATTAATGATTTAAGAGCAATTAAATAATATTGTAGAAATGTATAGCAAGTTGGCCCAGATATAGAAAAATTGAGCATCTATGCAAATAAACGAAATGAGGATATATTTCGATTTATAAATGATCAAATTTATATGCTTGAAAAATAAATACTCTAAGTACAATAGCATGCGGATGAATTAAAAGAAGAAGCTTTCGAACATTGTTTCATATGATAAACTATTAGACAACATCATTTCGAAAGTCACTATCGAGACAAATAATGTACAGTTCATTCCACCGGAATATGATATCTCGATCTAGAGAACAAATTTTCTCTCCTTCGGTGAAAATTGGCCATAAACGAATAGAGCTAGTTATCGGACATGATCCTAATACTTAGGGTGTACCAAAAGTTCTGATCACGACGTTACATAGCCATATAGTAAGCTTAAAAAAAACTTTCTTTCTATATAGTCTAATAGAGAAAAGAGTGCTCTATTTTGCTATGCTATTTGATCATACTTCAAATAATAATATGATAATAAATTTTTGATAACACTTTTTTTTTTGTTATCATTTGTGCTCATAGTACTAGATCACAAAGGATGAGGNTTCTGAAATAGCTTTATTTTGATACCAAACGATTCCTCGTGAAATTCTGCATCTAGTAAACTATGAATCAACCAAAATTGACGAGGGCCCAAAAATGACCCTTATACGCCCCCGTCCTTTTCCATCTGAAAAATATCCAAAATTTTGTGTCAGCAGTATTTTGCAGACAAAAATCCTTTTTTTTTGAGCGTGTTGCATGTCAAAAATATGATGAGAACACTTTTTGAACGCTTTCTAGATGCAAAAGTTGCATTTTTTAAATGTTTCTGTTCAATTTTTATGAGGAAATTTGCCGTTTTTCTGAGTGGACGTGATTCTTCAATTTAATTTCTGACTTCTGTCTTTGCTTCCAGTTTGAATATTAACGATTGGCTTAAATGTTATTGTTTAATTTATTTTTAATTTCTTAATAATTTAGAGAACTTATATTTCGGTTACATCTATTTAGAAAGTTCTTTGCTCTATAAATTTTTCAGTGGACAACAATTAATTAAATATTGCCTTAGATCAACTATAAAGTTATCTCAGTTCTTTTACTCATATCAGTTATGTACGGATTCTACAAACTCTTATATTCGGATATGTCTATTGATATATTCTAAAAATCTTTTAATATGCAAAGCAATTACAGGCAAAATGTCTCTCTAGCACTCTTCGAATAAATTTAAATTAATGCAGAAACACATTGTCTTTTGTTAATTTCATAAAACCATTTGAACTTCTTTATTCTGAAGCTTTTCTTTTGTTCTTATCATCTTTTCTTTTCCTTTTATTTTTGACGCTTGAGATAAAAAAAACGTGAATGCGTAAATTTATCTTATGCACTGGTTTGTACTCAAGAAGAACTTTTTAGAAGATCGGAAGTCTGACAAATAAAATAATATTTTTTGATTTCCCATGAAATGATAAGTGTCTTTTTCCAAAAAATTTAAATGAAATGACTATGAGAAAAATTTCATGGAAATTCAATTCAGTGGTTTGAGAATAAAAGTGTAGAAAATTGATATTAATATAAAAAGTATATAATAATGAGATGCATATCTTTGAGATTGGATTGTGTTAGGTAGTTCATCTTATCACTCTTAACTATTCACATTAATGACTAGCTCTATAAGGTTATCGCTGTCGTTTCTCTTTCAATTCGAAAATATATACTTAAAATAAAACCTTGACTTGTTCACAATTACGCAAGTGAAAAAGGATTAAACTGATAGAAGAATATGGGCGTAAGTGAAGCTCTTGTCTTCATCCAATTTTCACACTCAACGACACACGTATATCCGCTCTTTTCCTGATCCATCCTCAATCCAATGATATACACTTCATTTCTATTTACGTTTCGTAATAAAATGAATTTTTCAGCCTAAGCAAACGCGAAATTGGCATATGCAGTCCTTCAATTGAATGTATGCAAATGAATTTTAGCTATACACCATCGGTATTTAATCTGGACTATTGTAGCAGTATTTTTAAATTTGTATGATTCATTGAATAACTTTGTGTAGAAATTTGAATTACCTCGAAATTGGAATTTATCATGTCCTCGGGCTTCTGAAAACTATGTAATCTCACTCCTCACATATATATATATATATATAAATCTCTCGGAAAAAGAAGAGAGGTTGATCCTACATTAATCTTCTGTTTGGGTGTGTCCTGGATTAGTCGAGAAACGATGTGTGTTTTTTTCGATTCAAAATATGTAACAAAAAAATGTTTTCATCTTTTGTGTTGTCAAATTTTTATATAAAAATTTTGTCATGCAAATTCTAAAAATGTTTATCATATTTCAGGTTTATCTGAATTTGATCTTATGAAAATAAATACAGACGATAACAATCTTCCACCATATGAAACCACGATTCATTTAGTAACAAAACATGGAATATTAAAAGAATTTTTAACACGTTATGAAATAGATCGTGTTAAAATCTACTCAGTAACAAATACATTTGATAAAAATAATCAACAAAATGCTCGATATTTATTTGAAATTGATTTAAATAATGTTCTTGCTATATGTAATCAATCAGTTAATTCCATATCATTAAAATCACGTTCAACAAATATTCCAACAATAAATACAAATAGTCAATGTACATTAATTGTTGATGAACAAACATCATTTAATGAATATGTATGGATATTTCCAAATGAACTTGAACGTGCTTTATGGATACGTGAATTATTAAAACGACAATATTCATATCATCAATTAGTTTATTCGGATTTTATTTTATTAACTAAATTAAATGTACAAGAAGGTATTAATGCTGAAAAACAACAAGTTATTGCAGTTGTTTATCCCGGAAGATTTGTTATATGTTCGGATACAATATTTGATGAAGTTGATTTAAAAAAATATTGTAGTTTAAGTAAAAATTTTTTTTCTTGAATTTTCTTATTCTATTAATTGATATCGATTTGTTTTTGTTTTATTTAGCTTATCAAAAAAGTGTAGAATTTACAGGTGTTGTTCTTTGTCTTGTTTCAAATCGTTTTCTTTATTTATCATCACCAATATCAAAATTAACTGATATGTTATATTCGTGTCTTCGTGAAGCAACGAAAGTTAAAGCATTAACTGATTTGAATTGTCAAATATTAACATCACAAAATGTACCTGTTATTGTTGAAAGATTTATTAATTTTATTTTTGAACATGGTTTAGAAAGTAAAGGTAAATTAATTATATGAATATACCAAATCATTTAAAAGAATAAATTTTTTTTCTCAATTAATCGAAAGTATTTTTGTCTTATGATACAATAAATCAGACACCATTTCGTTTAGTAGCTAGGAATGTTATCTATAGTGCTAAGAAATATTCAAACAATTAGTTGGAATTGATCAAATTCTATTATGACACTGTTAGTCATAGTATTGAAACTAACTTTTGCTTGAATGTAATAGTTAAACAAATGAACGGAAGATCTTTTGTAAGGACAAACTATGATAATGGTCACAGAAATAGAATTAGTTTTAATTATGAGAAAACTTAATGATTACTTTTATAATTGACTTGAAACGTTTGCATTCTATATAATCTTTTTGAACGTCGTCATTAATTCTGCAATGGAAGGAAATTCGTTTGTTAAACATTTGTAATTATTTATCATACTGAAGACAATTATATGCAATTTTTTGCATCATTTAATATTGATGGAAAATGACTGACCAAAGAAGTAGGATGAATACATGCAGCGAATATATTCATCAAAGAAATTAAATTTCTTGATTAAGAAAGTCTGTGCCAATTGAAATGTCTCTGGTTTCTTTTTTTAAATAATTATTTGAAAACGAAAGCAAACTTTTATTCATCAATTCTATGTCAATAGATTCGTATGAACGGCTTGTCAATAAAATGAATTGGCAACAAAGATGAAAAATCATAAGGCTCGTAACATATTAGAAATTCTTTCTGCAGTTTATTGTATTATTATCGTATTCATGTAATATCTAAGTTTAATATAAATAATATTTTGCTTTTGTCATCTTAGCGATTTGTCAGTTCTGATAGTAGTGATCCGAAGAAGCCAACAATGGTGGGTGGAGTCGTGATTTTTTGTAAAGGAAAAATATCTTTATTCTAACAGAATGTCAGTTCTGCTTGCAAAAAAAAAAATAAAAATTTTCCCGCAATTGGAGACATTACATCTTCGACATCTCCTCGGATACGTCACCACTTAATTCTAACGTAAAAAAATCATACAAAACTAGCTAGTTGTAAAGAATTGATGATTGTAAAATGCATTTTTTTTATTAAAAATATGTCACGAAATTGCACTTCAATGTTCTTTTGCATTATACTCTGAAGAGATTCTTTAGATTTTCTAGATGAAAAAGAACATAGTCATGGTTATAGGATCCAATTAACTCAGTGCATATTCTCGTATGACTCACACATGAAGAGATCTTTCTGAAATACGAACATATTCAGTAAAATCACGTTGTGCATTAATTAAAAGACCTCTTCACCTTTGCATTTCTAGACAGTCAAAAAATTTTTTTTTAATTACAACAGATCTCATATATGATTGAAGAAAATATATCTTTTGAGACACATGACTATTTATATTCTATGAAGTACTACTTCGAAAATTGAGAATGCATTTCGTGTCGTAATAGAAAGATGTTAAGATATATATTTTCAAACAAAAACAAATAATTATGCTAATGATATATTTCAATCTAAATGAATTTCATCTATTCTAGTCAAATTTTAATATAAGTGACGGATTTAAATAAGTTTAACAAAAATATTCTTTCTTTCAGTTATTTAGCTATATAGAAAGTTAAATATTATCCTTAATAAACGTCATTATTTAGAAAAAATAGTGTTATTGTACATTGTTTCAAGATTTTAGAGTATATTGACTGTTTTATTCTAAGAACATTCTTCTTATCAGCAACTGTTTTTTTTTTTTCATCGGATATTATCAGTTTCTTTTTCATAGTACCAACATGAGATAAATGATATAAACTCGTTTACGAACGATTTATTGAATAAAAATTAAGATTTTTGTCGACGAAACTATTAAATAAACATTTGTTTTTAAGTGACAGAATAGAAGATCTCAGATATTTTTGTGTTTCGAGGACTCTATATTTATAAAAATGTTTTTGTATTCAAAATTTCATACAAGACTAGAACTTTATTATTTTATTCTGTCAATTTTATTTTATATAGGTATTTATCGTCAAGCTGGACAAGAAACAAAAATAAAACAATTATTAAATGAATTCCTTGAAGATCCATTTAATAATTCATTAACACACGAAAATTATACTGAACATGATGTAGCTAATGGTTTAAAACGTTTTTTACGTCAATTAGATACTCCATTATTAGGTACACGTCACAATTATGATGCATGGTTACGTTCAACAGTTGATTCTAATATAACAGCTGAACAACTTATTCAATATTATCGTGGTTTACTTGTTGATTTAAAACATAATCATCCAATTCATTATGCAACATTAAGAAAAATGTTATTACATATTCAAACTGTTTCTATGTTATCAAATAAAAATGGAATGACTTTATCAAATCTTGTTTCAACATTCGCACCATGTATTATATCTCAAGCACCACCACCGCCGCTACCACCGCCATTTACAAGTTCGCATGCAAATGAACCACGTGAACGTCGCGGAATGTCATTAGATGATATTGATATGAAATATTCAAAAATTCAAGAAGATAATGTTTCATCGTGTGAAGATGAAGCACAAGATTCAATTGGTCTTCTAATAAATACTTCTTCACCAGCAAAGGTTAAACGAAATCAATCACTTCAATGTAAGCACTTAATTGATTTGCAAATATCTTGTATGAAATCATAACTTTGAACTATTTTACTTACATGATTGAACGTAAAAGTTCATTTTTCTTTAATCAAATCATTTTAAACATAGAATGTCAAAATATTCAGTTGAATACATATGAATCTTAGATATGTCTTATTGTTATCATTAGATAAAGTACTGAAGATAATAGAATGAAAGATAAAGAGATATTACAGAAGTTCTGAAACGGTTTTAAAATTCATTATTATTCTTGTAATCAACATAAGCAAAGTTTTTGTAACTTTGGTAGATTTGGACCGATTCTTGGATATTTACTGAAAAGTCAATAAAAGATATTTTGATCTGATCTTTTTGCCCACAGATAGATCTAGTGATGCTTAGATTATCGGAAAAGTTTTAGCCGCAAAGAATAATCCTTTGTCCAAATAATGAAATTTTCAAAGATTAGCTGTTTGCCACAGACAAGTCGCAAAAATCGAGTTTATTTGAAAGTTCAATATCTCAACAGAGTAACATTCTTTTCGACTGAAACTTTCAGAATATTCTAAGGATTATTAGATATAAGTTTCAGGTCAATAGTTTTTACTCCAGGTGAGAGTACTGTAAGAATACTAAATTGCGCTATTTTATCGATTTTTCAATTACTTAAGCTTATAGTTTTAAATCGAACTTACTTTTCGAAAGTGAAAAGTAAGCTATATCAATTGTATCAATATTCCTGTATCTGATTACTTTATTGATCCAATACTAATTTAAATCATGCCAGTATTTATCTATCATTGTTTGACATAACGAACTATATAAATTTGTTCTATTTTATATTAATATCACTTTTCAATTGTCCAATGTTATTTTATATCCGTCCTCATATTTCTTTTTGTTTTAACACATTCCAAATATCTTCTATGGGTCAAACTTTGCTTACTGATGCAGCGCGATATTCTGATTCAATTATATCTGACAGAATTAGAAAAAAACTACACTCATTCTTTATTTAGAATGCTGATCATCTTGAAATATTTCATTGTCTAAATTTTCAAATTTTTTAATTGTGTGTTTTTTCTGTTGTTAACCCTAATATTTCATCGATTGACATACTCAAGAATAAAAATATATTTGCGAAGAAAACAGTTTTTTTTTTGTTTTGCATATATTTCAGGAAGCAGGACTAAAATTAATATTTGCCTCAACATTTTTGTATTGCACTCTATAAACTCATATGTTTGGAGAATATTTATAAATCTTAATATTAACAAATTTATAGAATCAATATTTATCTTTAAACTATTGACTTTTTTTTTCAATTTCATAGGAAGTAAATCTTTGTTAGAAGAATTAACTTAAATAATTTCAATAAAAAATCTAATTATTTTTTTAGCTTCTCGCACTGCTGTTTCAATGTCATCACCATCACGTTTTCCACTATCGTCATCTTATGCTCGTGTAACTCCATCAATACAAGCTGATCTTGAAATAATGAATAATCTTTGTCAATATTATCGTGAATTATTTGATATAACTAATGATGAAATCGAACATGAAAAAACATGTGTTGAAACATTAATATCTTTACGAACTAATCAATGTCAACCACGTAAATTAGATGGTACAATGGTTTCAGTTTATTTTGAATCACGTGCTGATGAATTAAATGGCTATGCAATAAATATTTTAGAACAAGAAACAACAGCTAATCATGTTATTGATAAATTATTAAAACAAATTCATAAACATGATTGTTTTTTTTGGGCTTTATTTGAAGTTATTATTGATCAAAATCTTGAACGACCAATGTATTCAGCAGAAAATATTTCTAATGCATTAAATCGTTATCGAACATATTTACCACCCGAATTAAATCGACAAGCAACATTTGTTGTTAAACTTAATTATGTACAATTTGAAAAAGAACGTTTACAACAACAACAACAACAACAACAACATGATCTATCATCTATTGAATGTGAATATTTTGATTTAACTAGTAAACGTTGGATACCATGTGTATGGATATATGAAAAGCAAAATGTAAAAATTTTAAAAAATAACAAACAAGAAAAATCTCATTCTTAATTTTTTATTTTTAGCTTCAAGTTCATCGAATATCAAATGAAAAATCTATGAAATGGAAATCACGTTTTATAAATTCTTCAACACCAAATAATCTTTCTCGAAAAGAATCAGCATTAAATTCAAGTGTGATATCATCATCTGAACAACAAACACAAATATATTCATGGTTTGTTAAAGATTTATATCTTTATATTGGTGCTGATCGTCGTATTGTTAATCCATTTGATATGAATGAATATCGTACATTAACTATATTACATACAGATTTAATAAACGAACCAATATTTGGTATTGCATTTCGTTTTAATGATCGTCATCAAATGTTTGCTTGGTATTTGGAATTAGTACGAATTAATGGACATGATCAATGGACACGACAAGCATCTCATACAATACCTGATGGTGTTAATTATTTACCATTACAAAATTATCATACGCCATCATCAACATCATTAACATCATCGAGAAAAAAATCTGAGCAAATAAAAACAAAATTAATTGCAAAATCAACTCTTGTTGCTTCAAGTTTAGGAAAACAATTACGAAAATAATTTAGTTGTGAATATACGGTGCTATGTTAATAAAAACGAACAATTTTCTTTGTTACTTTTTTTTTGTATATGTATAAAACTACGCCGTTGTTATATTGTTGTCTGATTTTTGTTTTTTCTTTTTTTCATCTTGATATTGATAAATCTTTTTTTTGTCTCAATCATTTATTCATAAAAAAAAAAAGAAACATTCATCGAAAATCTTTTGATTGAAAAGATATCCTGGAACAATACAGATGATAATTCTTTTTAGATAAAAATGAAAATTTTTTCAAATTAATTACTAATCACAATTTACAATGTAAATAACAAAATTTATTTGTTTACAATTTTAGTTTTTCTAGTCAATAACAAAGGTAAATATAGCATATTATGTTTTATGACATTTTATTTAAATAAACAATAATTATCAAGAGAAAATATTACGAAATCTTTTTCATGATTCGTTGTTTATCGGGTTTTTTTCTTTCTTTAAAAGAGACGAGACGAAAATAACCAAAAAAGAGGGGCGCAAAATACGACCTATTATATAACACATATTTTTGCCCTTTTTATCTGTACTGGCAAAACTTCATGATTTAAAAACATTTAAAACATTCTTTGACATTTTCTTTTACTTATTTCTTTTGTCTATAAATTTATTATATAATTAATTGGTTTTTTCAAGACATGTGATGTGTCATAAGTATCTCATCAAAAGAGTAGTAGGTTTTTCTGGTTATATAACGCAAAGTGAATGGGATCACAATGTTTTTTTTTTTTTTTACAAAAACTAATAAGAAAAAGTTCAGGTTTTCACTAAAGATAAATAAAAGAAAAATTAGTTTTCTGTTTCTTTTTATCTTTATTTTTTTTTCTATTGAATTTTTCATAGTATTTAATAACGAATAGAAACGAGGTCATTGTGATATCCGAGACATTAGCTAAATCGAGTTATATAAGCATGTCTGGTACACTATAGCCTTATGATGTTGTAATCAGTTGAAGAAGGACATCGAGGAAAGAAAAAACAAATAGAACAAAAAAGAGTATGAGAAACGGAGGACGGAAGAAAAAAAAGAGGGAGTTGAAGAACGGGTGATAAGCACTGCTCACGTAATCGATTTTTATATGTTGAGGTTGAGTAGATATTCTCGAAGAACATTTCATAATATATAACAAATAAAAAAGCATTTCATTAATATTATCATTATCTATTAAAATGCTTTTTTATATAAGTTCGGTCAACTATGTTTCCTGCATATAATAATCATTCGACATTAAGAAAAACTCGGTCGAGGCGTCAAAAATTAAAATCACGACAACGTCCTTCAATACAATCAACAAAAATTCATCAACAAAGAACAACAAATTCATCATTAACTAGTCGTTTTCATGATATATTAAGTGATCTAAAAAGTTCTTGGTCACGTTTTTCATCATATACAGTCACAGAACTCGAACCTATTTGCCAACAAATAGCCATACAACAAATGTCATCAAGAACATCAACTACAGAATTTTGTCCATTAATTTGTAAATTTTGTCAAAGTTTAGTCTATGAACCAATAACACTTTATTGTGGTCATACATATTGTAATCAATGTATAAATGATGAACAATTATCATCAACTCTAAATTGTCCACGATGTCCACATGATATTCAAGGACAAATACAATCATCTATCATACATGCACGAGAACAATCTTATAAAAAAAATCGTTTTCTTAAAGAATTATTTGAACGTTCAGAAAAATTAAAAATTAAATGTGAAACAATTTTATTATGTCAACAAGGACAAATGGAATATTCACATGGAAATTATCAACACGCAATAGATATTTATTCACAAATAATTGATCAATGTAAGCAAAGAACTTTTTGTTTTCTTCTTTTAATTAAATTTTATTATATTTTTTTTATAGATGATAATAATGATCATCTTGCATTATATAATCGTGCTAAAGCATATTCAGTTTTACAAAATTATGATCAAGGTCTTATCGATGCAACACGTGTTATTGCACTTAAACCTCAATGGATAAGAGTGATATTTCATTTTTATTTTTAAAGTGAAAATACAAATGAAACCTTTTTTTTTTTACTTTTATTAGGGTTATTTATGTCAAAGTGAAATATTATTTGAAATGAAACATTATGCAGCTGCGCTTATGTCATCATTGAAAGCACTTGTAATTGATCCAGAAGATCAAGTTGGAAAACAAATTATGGCTCGAGTAACTATCAAAAACAAGAAAAATTATTTATTATTTCTGTTCTTTTTTTTGTTTTTTATTAAAGCATCTTCATGCAGTATTACGTAACAATGATGATGGAGAAACTATAGCAACGATGGAATCAGAATTAGAACAATTTAATATAGCTCCATCATCTAATGATAATAACATGGAAACAACTAGTTCAGGTATGAATAAATTTTCTTTGTAGATTTGAAAGAGAAAACAAAAAATTAATGCACCGAACAAATAACCCAATTTTTATAGGTCATAGAGAAAGTGCACGTGATATTTTTTTGTAATAGGAGATGTCTAAAAGCAAAGAAAAACTATTGAAACCTTTTAAATAATCTCGAGTGAATAAAAATGTTTAATAAAACAAAATGATTTTCATAGAGAACAAAAAAGAATGTAAATTTATCATCTATCTTTTATGAATGAATAAATAATTGGAAATTATTTGACATACAAATTAGTGAAGTCTATGCTCTTATTATTTATTAGAATAATTTTATGTTTTTTCCAACAAAACATTCCAATGTTGACATATGTCGACTTTAAACATTGGTTCTCTTATAAAAGCATACTCTTATATAATATGTACTTAACTATTCGATGTAACCTATTACTTAATAAAGCCTGTGCAAACTTACTCAAATTATGTTTTTAATATTATGCATGAATATAATCTATTATTTCTTTTTCTTTTAATATATTTTTTCCTAGAGTATGTGAATGAAGTTTATGGAAAGGAAATGCATGTTTGTTTCCTGATATATATATATATATATAACATCACTTTGGGAGCTGTAAACTCTAGTAGGAATGTTTTATAACAGATTTGTGAATGCGAGAACAACTAATTGTTGTTTTGAAATTATAAACTAATAGTAATTAATTATTAAATATGAAGTTGTTTTGAGAGATGTTATAAAATATCTTTTAGTTATTTGAGATGATGTAAAATGATGATTAATAACAACTGGTATTACAAACGTTCTCAACTAAACCAAATACGAACTTTATCTATATCTATATATATATCTACGCAATTGGTACGAAAATTATTCGAAAAAAAAAGTGTATTATATTTCTTAAAGAAAGGATTTCGAGAAAACCAGAATTCTAATTTTTTTCAGTACTAAGAACACGCCAATTCTAATTTTGTTTAGATCGAATAGAATAGTAGAGCAATGAATTTTCTACATAATGACACGTCTTTGAATTCTCTACGACGTTTTCTGTCTGGAATAGAGCAATTGAATTAAATGTCTATAAATTGTTTTTTTATAGGACATAATAAGAAAAAAAAAGAAGACTTTAAGGACTTCCGCTTTAATTCCTCTGTGTCAGGTGAAAAACGCCGTAGAGAACTTAGAGACATCTTATTTTGTAGAAAATTGTTTCCTCTATCATTCTATATGCTATCATGACACAATTATATTGATGGATTCGAGGTGCTGAAAAACTAGAATTTTAAATTTCTAGAATCCATATCTTTGGGAAGTTTAATAACTATTATTATTTCCTTATATTCTTGTTGGAAACAATTTCTTCTACGCGAATCACTATTCAGATTCTTTCTAGCATTTAAAGTAGAAAAAATAAAATTGAAAATAAATTTTTGTTGATTAATTTTGGTATCCATACCCTAAGAAAAAATGGTTAAATTGAATGCACTTATATTCTATTTTGTTTCAGTAATAAACAACATTTTAAGTAAAATTTTTTCATTCATAAGACATGTAAAACATATTCATGCCGGACTGTCATTATAAATTTATGGATTTTTTTGTCAATTAATAAAACTTTATTTCACTTTTTTTTTGTTTTTCTACTATTGAATTTTTTTCTTTTTAGTAACTGATAACACTTCATTAGCAATGTGTAAATCAATGCGTAAGTTTATTTTAATCTATTATTTTACTAAATAATATATTTTTTATTCTATACAGAATCATCAAATTCTTGTTTTTGCTTACTATTCGATGGTAAGAAATTGCACGCAACAGATTTTGAATGTTCTATATGTTGCAAGTAAGATATTTGATGTTTATTAAATATAATAAAAATTTACTCTTGTTTTAGTTTATTATGGTTTCCAATAACAACACCATGTGGTCATGTATTTTGTCGTGAATGTGTAATTCGTTCTGTTGATAATACTCAAGCACAATGCCCTATATGCAAAAGTTCATTACAACATGTAAGAAATTTTTATTAAACTTTTTGTTTATTTTAAATGCTTAGTTTTTGTTTTTGTTTTTGTAGTTTTTTCCAATGTTAATACAATCACATGTAAATAAAACTGAAATTATTGCAACAATAATCGAAACTTATTTTCCCACTGAATGTAATGAACGACGACAATTATATGAACAAGAAAATATCCGAGGGTAAATTATTTTCTTAATCTAAAAGAGTTTTCTTTTTGTTTTATTTTAATGTAAATAAAAAAAAAAATATAACTTTAGTGCTTCAATTCCACGAACATTAATAAATGATATAAATAATTCGGGATCCATTATTTTTGAAATTCCAATATTTGTATGTGTTTTGGCATTACCTAATTGTGCATGTCCATTACATGTGTTTGAACCACGTTATCGTTTAATGATGAGACGAACTATTGAAACTGAGTCACGTACATTTGGAATGTGTACATATGATGAACACACAGGGTAAGAACGAAAAAACAAATAAAAGAAATCTTGGTTGATATAAAACATATATATAATAGAGCATTTGCTGACTATGGTACATTATTATATATTCGTGGCCTTGTTTATACACAAGATGGTCGTTCAGTAGTTGATACAATTGGACAACGACGTTTTCGTGTTATTGAACGTGGAATGAGAGATGGATACAATACAGCTAAAGTTGAACTTCTACGAGATCATCCAATTGAACAACATGAATTTGATGGTTTGATAAAATCTGAAAAAGAAAATAAGTAGAAGTATATTTGTTTTTTTTATATACTAGATTTGTTTCAACTTAATCGAGATACTTACAATCGCGCTCACAATTGGTTTGATCATCTTGATCCATATAGAAAAACATTGATAATTCGTCAATTAGAAGGATATCCACCGTGTGATGATTTAACCGAGGGATCAAGTAATAATTTTCATTTATTATAGAGTTAAATTAATTTCTTTTATCATTCAGAAAATTATTCAGATTTTTAAGGATATTTAAGACATAAAATGAACTTCAACATTTAATTGCTCGATTGACTAACGATGGAAATCATCCGATTGATAAATTATTTTTGAGTCGAAGCTACATGCATTATGTTGACCCAAATGAGCGATGAGTATCCTGAAAAGAGTTGGTGTCTTTAGCTTATTGCTGTAGGAATACTGGACTTTTACGGTATAGAGATTGACATTAAAGAGAATAGTTTCTCATGAAAACTTCAGATCTCTTCGTTGTTCCTTTCCTAAAATACAATTATGACATAAATGTGTCTTTTATATCTCTCGTATATACTGGCAGATTCGATGTTCTTATTTCGCAGTAGAAGCAAATCAAGAGACTTGAAATTGTCACAATAAACTACTCTCAGTAAGGTTTGTGTTTATTCCAGTTTTCAAGTTGAAATTCGAAAATTCAGTTTTTCTGGTGTTCCTCAGGACCACTACGACATTCATTAAAAAATATCGTATAACCTTAGTATCTACGTAGCAATAAGCTAAAGACAAGAACTCTATTCAGGATATTCATAGTTCATTTAACTCTATATAATGCACTTAGTCTCGGCTGAAAAGCGATATATTTGCTGAGAGACTTCCCTTGAGTGATAACTAATATTTCAATTTTCTAGCTATTTCATTAGTTTAAAAGTAAATCTTTTATTACAATATCTAATTTATTCCAAGAATTAAAAATGAGCGATTAAAAAAAGAAAACAATTGATTATGGATATAAATCTTATTTTTAATTCATAAGGCATACGTTTTTAATCTAGTTTGATTAATAATATATAACATATTATTTTAAGGAAAGATCTGTTAAGACCACTTATGGAATTGTTTTAAAGTTTTAATTTTTACAAAAAAAATATTAATTATATATTATATTTTATTTATTCAGCTGATGGGCCTAGTTGGGCTTGGATTATGTTAAATTTATTACCAATTGAAGAACTTCTTCAATATACTGCACTTGCTTCTCAATCTTTTCGCATTCGTATACAAATGATTAATGATGCTATTGATTTTCTATTGAATCAACAACAACAACAACAACAAGAACAAGAACAAACAACAGCTACATCGAATAATCAACAGTAGACTTTAGGCTTTATTTCAATCTGGATAATGGTGAATCCCCGGTGGTTTTGTTTTTTACATAACAAGGAAATAGCGAAGACACATTTGCTTTTTCTTTTCTTTCATTATATTTTTGTTATTTAATGTAGATAGTATGCATTTGTAATTCGATAAAACATGCATATATCAGAACGGAAAAATAAAAAATGAAGGAAATATTTTCAAAATATTATTGTTAGCAATTCTATAAGAAGCAGAAAAATAATTGATAATGTTCCTATAATAGAGAAATATGTTCGCCATTCATTAGATAAAAATGATGAAGAATGTATATGATGATGATGAATATGATAAAATTCAGATGATTTTAATTGATTATCATTCGTTTGAGTTTCTTTATCAATTTTATCAATCAATGCATGAGATGATAATTCAATAGAAGATATTTTATCTGATTTTGGATGATGAAATTCAAGTTGATTACTATGCATGGCTTGTTTAAGCAATTCAATTCGATGAGCAATTGATGATGAAATTGATGATAATGGTAATGATTTATTTTGTGATGTTATTGATGATGTTTTTGTTTCATTGAAAATTGGACGTACCTTTGATTTACTATGTAAACGTCGAAGATGTTGTTGTGCATATGATGAGCGAACACTATGACTATTTGTAATGGTATTTCTTCGAGAAGCATATCGTAATCCAATATGATTTTCAATGGATGTTGATACAGGCAATGTTGTTGTAGAGTTCGATTGTTTATTATTGCATTCAATTTGAGATTGTTGTTCATTCTAAAATATGAATAAAAATAAGTTATAATTTAATTTTGAATACTTCTTTTCGAAAGAAGTGTTTTTATAATCGGATTTTTTTATTCAATTGCACTGGAATTATTAAAATCCTGGTATAAGTATTTTTTTCTAATTAACTTCTAGAATATCTTTAAGATAAACCTATTATTATAAGAACACCGTTTAGGCCGTACTTAACAACAGCGAACGATTTCTAAGCACAGAAAAAAAATTGTATCTTTAAGATTTAAACTACTTCCGAAAAAACCACTTGAACTGATATCCACCATTTAAGCTCATATTGATCCTACAAGGACGTCTTGATGAGATTAGCAGAAGTCTACAAGAGTTTATCGTCATAGGTATTTGAAGACAAATTATAATTATTTTACTGAATTTTTCATCGAATTATAGATAGATACGAAAAAAAATTTAAAAAAAAACACGCTTTCAACATGAAATTTTATTTATGAATACATCGGATGACTCGTAGAATATCTTGAAAGTGTTAGCTGAAAATTAAATATCTCAACAAATGAACATTCTTTTAGGCTGAAATGTTCAATATGTTCTATAGATCATTCGATCTATCGATGCTTCTTTGATGATGATAATTGGAATTTTGAAAAATGACAACACACTTTGGTGTCAAATTAAGGCAATGACTATACAAGAAAAAAAGTTGATCTTTCGTTTTAGAATGATTCTTACTGAATCTTGTAATCGACAATTTACTAAATCAGAACGATGTTGTTTGATAGATGTTGATATCGATGGATTTTGTTGTGAAAATTTTGTTTGTTTTGTTAATGATGATTCATGATGATATTGTTTTTGATCTATATATTTCTGTTGATGAATACAATGTTTATGATAAGCAGATAATTCAAAAGGAAATTTTTCAGTTTTTGGTGATATTGAAAAATAAGGTTCAGTAAATGGCAAACGTTCGAAAGGTTCACTTAAAGATGGCATAGATCTTCGTGATTCTTGTTCAGCAAGTGTTCGATTATCATTATTACTATTATTAGGATTTTTAACAACTGTTGATATGCTAGCATCATTATTATGTTCTATAGTTTCAGACAAATGAACGTCTGTTTTAGGTAATTGAATATGTTCATTATGGATATCATTATTGAGTAATTTTTTGAATATTCGATTCATTTTAAATCGAATACTAGCTGTATGTTTAATTGATTGATGACTTTTGGAAGATGTTAGTTCTGGTGGTAGGGTGGCTAATGCTGAATAATGAACAGCAGGTGCAATAAATACCATTTTATTTCTAACTATAGTTGTTCATGAATAGTAAGAATAAAAGACTCATAAAACCGTCTATGTTTGATATCAAAAATGAAAATTTAGTCGAAAATGAATAAAACACACATGATCGATTCCTATTTAGAAAACTTCGATCTAATATACATTATAGCGCGCGCCTACAAATTTGACCAAAAATTTTATTCTTTTTTAAAATTTTTTATTTCATTATTGTTATTTTTGTATCAAATCTTATAACAGATGAGCCATAATGTTCTTTTTGTTTTCGGTATTTAGACCTGTTTCTTTTTCTAAAAGATATGGCATTAAATTATCTATAAAACATGTTTCTAGTGTTTTTCTGTAGAAAATTAAGAAGAAAACTTAACCGCAGAATATTCAACATGTATAAACAGATTTTTTTATCAAACAATTTTTATTTGTTCGAGTTATACAAAAAGAAACTCAAATTCGTATCGATTTTTTCAGTGTCGCGTGTTTTCAACAATTCAGCAGCTATTCGAACTTGAAATTTCATAGCTTCTGAAAAACAACGCATAACAAAACCAAAATAATATCGTTTAAATTCGAATTTTCTTAAATTTGATTTTGATGTTCACATTGGTTCGAACGAATACGCTTTGCACTACTCAGAAACATCTTCACGTTAGTTTTATTATCTCTAGAAAACTTGAAAATATTGTCAAGTTTATCAAATAAGATGGTATAAAAAATTTGTTCGTTTATATATGTTGAGTATTCTTCAGTTTATTTTTCTCCTTCATTTTCTACAGAAGAACATTTGATATACGTTTTGTAGAAACCTTAATACTGTATCTTTTGGAAAAAGAATCAGATATAAATACTGAAAATAAAATAAAAATTATATTCAAAATAGCAAGATAATCATTATTTATGGTTCACCCGTTATTTCATATCACCACGATATGAAAATATCAACAATAATATATTAGAAATCTCCTTAAAGATAATGCAATCATATATATATTCTCATGAAAAAGTATTCATATTAATCTGATATTGATTTGCTTAAAAATAAGTACAAAAAACAGATAGTATAATTCACAAAAAAAGAAAATATATAGTAGACGTAAAAAAATTATCCAACCAAGTGTAAGTTCGATTTTTACTTTTGCAATAGATGCTATAAGGAATCTAAATGCTGACTTGAATAGACAGGATTGTTTCCAACAAAATAAAGTGGAATTTAAATTCTTTGGTATATTCCCAATAAATCTATAGTGTCTAGAAAAACTATACCCTAAGTTTTCAGTACCCAGATCCTGATTATGAAAGTTTATTTTGAGAACAAAGGACGATAGAGTAGAACATTCTGAGCCTTCCATAAATTTGATGTAACTCAGCCAAAAAAATGTTGTTATGATCTCGAAGATGTCTCATTTTGCTGAGAATTTTCTGCTCTATCGTCCTTGTTTGTCAAAACAAACTTTCATGATCGGATCGTGGATAGTAAAAATCTAGAATTTGGATTTTCTAGAAATTCGGGATTTTGAGAATAAACTGAGGGATGAGTTTCAAAAATCGAATTTACACCAAGTCGAATAATTTTGACAGCCATTATTTAGTAAAGCTTCTTATTGCCATTGAATTTGTTCAAAATGTTGAATAAATAATTGAAAAATCTGTTGAATTTTTTTCGATATTATTTTACACTGTAAATCACCGAATAAAATCGTTGAAAAATAGTCGAAAATAAAATTTTGTTCATATTCATTTGTACATCGTTTATGCATTCTATATAAATGTTTAAAAAAAATAATAACTATTTCAAAATTTTTTTCATCAATTTTAAAATCCATATATGTATATTTATCTTCAATTGTTTTTATCATTGATAATGATGAATAATTAAAAATCTTTTTCAAGATAGCTCGAAATACTTGTATACAATCATATTGATTTTCAATAGAATATTTTTCATAATTTGATGTACGAATTTGATAAAATATTTTCGTAAGTAAATGTTTTGCTGCATCACACATATATTTACAATTTAATAATTGCTTATTATAAGGACATTTTATTGTTGATTCTTCAATAGATTTCATAAGAATATCTAAAGCTAATAAATATTGTCGATTAAAATTATTTGAAAAATTTTTAATAGAACAAAATGATGAATTTGTTTTATTATCAAATGAATCATTTGAAGAGAAATTAAGATGATGATAATTTTCAATTAATAATGATAAAATTTTTATTGAAGAATAATCATTTATATTTGAAAAAAGATTATGAAAAAGGATAATTAATATTTCAGATATCTTTGAAGGTTTAATGGTATTTAATGGAGAATGACAAATATGATTAAATGATGATAAAATTATATTGAATAGATCCCCATAATTGATATTAAGTATTGATAAAAACTAAAAATTATTAAAATTGTTTTTTTAAATACTAGAAATTATTTTGTTTTAAATACTTCATTTTTATTTAATTGCTGTTCAGTTTTACATTGATTAATAAAAACATTTTTTTTAAGCAAATTTTCAATATAAATATGAAAAGCATCAATAATTATAATGATATCTTTATCTAAAGGAAATTTTTCATTGTCATTTTCAATATTTTCAAATGCAATTTGTATTCGTTTCAAATGATATAATTCAATATCATCTTTATGATGAATACGTTTATTACTTAATTGAAATTTTTCAATATCAATTTCATTATTAAAATTTTCTAAATTTTTATTTATAAAAAAAGGTAAACATTGTTCGAAATATGATAAATATCGATGAAGAATTTCATTTTCAGATGCATGAATAAAATCACTATGTGTTAAAGTTGTTCTTTTTTCTTCTTGCTTGTCATCATATTTATCATTGAAACTTATATGACGATTTGTTTCTGTTGAAAATGTTAAGTTATGTTTAGATAAATTCGATGATAAATGATGATGATTATTATCTATATCGATAACCGTTTCGATAGGAATCGGATTTATCATGTGTATTTTCGATAAAAAATAATAAATTTATTCAACTTGACAACATCGAAATCATCTAGTTTTTAATTTTGTCATAGTAATCAAAGAAAAAAGTTAAACTCAATGTTTATGAAATCAATATTAATATTCATGTTTGTCTATTATACGAATAAGTTTTAAAACATCTTCGTTTAATAAATCGTGGGTGAGTCAAAAGTTTTGAAGCAAAATGTTTGTTTATTTTTGGGATCGTCTTAAAGTCGATCCAATGAATGAAAACGGTGGATTAGGACCAGAATTTTGTATTCTTTCTGAGTATGAACTTAGAAGATTTGTTTCAGGCTTTATTTGAGACTAGTAAGACAACCTTTGAAAGGTCAAAAAAAAAACAAATAAATTTGCACGAAATATAAAAATTTTTGAAACGCTCCAAAAATTAGATTAAGTGATGAATTAAGAAGTTTTTGCTAACCATCGTAAGTCCGTTTTTGAAGATGCTAAAAATTATTGAAGTCAATCGCTTTGTCGAGTGAATCCTTCTTTATGAAATACATTGACTTTAGAAAAATGAGTATTTATGAAAAATTGAAGTGCCTTGTCAAAAGACAAAAAGAACTTATGTTTTGATCTTTTCAAAGACTATCTCACTAGTCTCAAACAAAAACTGAGACAAATTTTCAAATCTCATATTCTGAAAGAGCACATAATTATTGTCTTAACCCATATGACTTTTGAGGTATTGGAAACATTGTCAAGAGAGAAAAAAATTAACATTTTGTTTCCAAGGGTATGGGTGTGTGGGTGCACTTCTCTTATTCGACAACACCCACAACCACACCCCACACCCTTTCTTTTGATTGCATCACGTTTGAGATTAGTACTCAGAGAATTAACTTTCTTCTCGAGAAAAAACATGATGTTCGCTTTTACAAATTTTCTAAATGTTTTTTTTTTTGCACAGCAGGGTGTTGTTCGATACAGTGCATTATATGAATCTAGAACATCACGAACATATTACTGTATCTCATTTCAAAACTTTCATTATTGGCAAATGCCTTATAGAAAATCTGTTTTTTGATATGTTTGAAATAAATTTGTACGAAGTACTTGCGGTGTGAAACTTTAAATTGTCGGTACATTTGTTATAAAAATAGATGATACAAGTATCATTGCAAGGATCAATATGAAATATGGATGATGTAAAAAAATAAAATTGCTATTTGCGAACCAGGATGCATCAGAATATTAATTTTACATGATTATTTTTAATATTCAATTTAAATTAAAACCAATTATCTACGCTTATTTATCAAAGTGCCAAATTAAGTTTCCATGAAATTTTTCTCATTGTTATTTCATTTGAACTTCTAGGAAATAGAAACTTACTATTTTAATACAATATAAACAAATATTATATATAAAAATTATAAAATCTATCTTTCTTAAAGTCGGCACATAAAATACGATATTAAATATTATTAGAATATAATTATATTAATAAGCCTCATCATACCGAACCAGCAAGTTCTAATGCCATGCAATTCTCTGTCTGTTACTAGTGATAAAAAAAGTCATGATGAGTTCCACTACTAGATCAGAATTTCGTTGCATTTGAGTGTTCTGTTGGTATTGGATTGTGTGACGTTCTTTCTATTAAAAATACACCAGCCAAAGTCACATTTCAAGCAAGGAATGTATTCGAGACTTACGGTTTTCTCTATTAGTAAAATTAAAATTAAAAGTATTGTAAACATTAAGTTGAATATTGTTTAGAAATTGGATTAAAAAAATCTTAAAACTCGGATTAATTGATTACTTTCATTTTCTTAATACCAAACAGTCATTAGTTCATTAAAAAAGAAAACATGTAGAAACTATTTATCTAAAATAATGAAAAATATTCAGTTATTCTATTTTTTCTTCAATACTTTTAGTTATATAAAATTATCAAGTCCTAAATTAAATAATGTTATGGTTATTGCTGCAATGCATATTCATATAGCTATACTTCTTTTTGGTTTTGATCAATGGTTTCTTGAACATA